TTTACAGAATCTTTTCAGACTGACCAGTAGTTCCCAGGCACAACGCTCTACTATCTTCTGGAATGTTTAGGGATGCGCCAGCTTTCTCTGCTTATCTCCAGAGCATTGCTCTGGAGACGAGAGCACCGTTTTCACCCCCCTTCCTCCATTCCAGTCCATCACAATGCTCTACCTTAGAAAAATTCTTAATGCAAACATAGTTTCGTTCTTTTTTTTCCCCCCCCATTATTAGAGGGTCACCACCCACTGCCAGTACCAGCAGCTCTAGTTTGACCAATGATGTGACAAAACAGCCTGTCAATCGGGACATCTCATCCGTAAGACCTGCAAATGTTGGCAACATGGGAGTGCAGTACACTCCCCACTCCCACCAGTTTCCTAGGACAAGGAAAATGTTTGACAAAGGCCCAGATCAGGTAAGATGGTCATCCTTGCTGCAGTTCTTTCAACATGTACCTAATCTATAACATTTCTATTCTTCAGTTGGTGTTTTGATCCCCGTGCTTTATTTCTTCCTATATTTGTCATTTTTCCCCAGTATGCTAGCTTTAGATTTCTGTAAATTTACACTAGTGTTTCATAACCAAGAACTCTTTCATATGCAACAATTTTACTGTAAACTTGTATCTTTCATACTGAAAAGTGTGAATTGGTGTTATTGGAATCTTCCTATATTATGCAGCATAAGGGGAAGCACCTTAAATTGTTACAATTATCACATTGAACATCAAAATGATTTGTTTTTGCCTCTATTCTTTTCATCAAAGAGAAAGGGAATTCTGAGTTTCTCAATTTGCACCGATATGTTACACATATGACAACTCTCTTTTTTATATACCTATGGAAGACACAAATTCTGTCTGAAACCATATCTGGTAATCCTCATATATCATGAACAGTATTTTCAGTAGCATGGCAACTAATGATATATTGGATTTATCTGAGAAAGAAGGAATGTAAATTCTGTAACTAAGGTATATATATTTCTCTTCCCTCATTTTTCTCCTTAATAGACAGCTGATGATACTGATGATACTGTGGGTCCCAAAAATTTCATGTCAGCAACGATGCAGACAGGGTTTTGTGATTGGAGTGCCAAATATTTTGCCCAGCCAGTGATGAAGGTACAGTCAAGATTTCTTTTCATGACCCTTTTCTAAATTGTCAGATTGTACAAATGCACAATCCCTGAAAAATGTATACAAGTAACAATTGCACACACGCTCACGCACACACACACACATATATAAAATTATTTATAGACTACCCACTTCTGAAAGGGCTCAAGACAGTTTATAATGCAAAGAAAAATACATTGAAAACAAATCTGAGTAACTAACTTAAGGCAGCCCAAGCATTAAGTTACAGTGAGACTGAATGTTTATACATAGTGGTCATTTCTGTTTCATATTAAAAGTTAGGACTTGACTATTTTTTCATAGAGATAATTCAGTAGGCATTATATAAAGGTTAGCATTAGGCTTAATTTTCCTTGAATTCTGGTAAAAAGTAGTGTGATTATTAGAACTAAATTCAGTGTTTATGGATTGCTGTAGTCTTTGCTTTAGGGCTTGAGCAATTTCTGAGGAAAATATTTTGATGACATTAGAATGAGGCTGGGTTAAGCTTCCTTGAATCTCTGCTGAAAAGTAATGGGACCATTATAGTCAGGTTGAATTTTTATGTAAAATGATAGTCTTTGCATCATATTAAGGTTAAAGTTTAGCACTGCAGCAAGTCTAAGACAAAATATTTCAGGGGGCATTAGGCTGAGTTTAGGGTTAGTATTAAGCTTCTTTGAAGTCTATATTTAAAGTTAGTGTGACAGTTAAAATCAGGCTGAATTATTATAGATAGTGTTAGTCAGCATATTATTAGTGTTACGGTGTTGCACTTCTCCACTTAGGGAAAATATTTTATTAGGGATTTGTACAACATGGAAAATATTTTTATGGACATTAGGGAGAGGTTAAGGTTAGAGTTAAGATTTCTTGAATTCTGTTATAAAAAGCTTCACAATTAGAATCAGGGTGAATTCTTACAGATTTGGTAATCTTTCCTTATTTAGGTTAAAGATTAATGCTGGAGCAAAAGTTAAAGAAAATATTTTTATGGTCATTTGGTTAAGATTTGTCTATAGACCAGGATTCCTTGGTGTCTGTTTCAGTGGCTAGCATTAGGTTTTTGGGGGGGGGCATGGTGGTCTGATTCATCTTACTGTTAGGACTTAGTGTTGGGTCAGTGCTTAGGAAAATTATATTTATGGGTACTACGGATTTGGAGAGTAAAGAACAATTAAAAGAGGCAGAGGAAGTACCATTTTTGATGCAAATAAAATAGTTTTAGAATTAAGTAAAGAGGGTTTAATAATGAACCTCCATCAGAGTTAATGGAATTAAAAATTAAAATGATGAAATGATTTGGGTTGAAATAGGTGAGAAAATACCAGGAGTATTTCAAAGATATATATGGAAATTATAGTTGTTTGTCAAAGCGTAAAATTGAAACAAGTGCTATAAATATTAGTGTCCAAGAAAAAATGAATGAAAAAAAAGTCATAAATGCTGTAAGAGGGCTGAAAAATAGTAAAGTTGCAGATGTAGGTGGTGCAATGTAAAAATGTTAAAACATGGGTATGCTTTGCTTATGGGGTATCTGTGCAACTTGTTTAAGTGTGAAGACTGCATCCTTATCTGATGATTATAAGAATGCTGTTATTTCTCCCCTGTCCAACATGGTAAGTAACACAAGTGAACACAAAAATAACAAGAGGATTATTTTATTAAGTATATCTGGAAAGGTGTTTGACAGAATTCTGATTGAAAATATGAGAGAAGTGATAATGAGCAAAATTTGGGAAGCACAGTGCAGGTTTATGCTGGGCAGAGGGTGCAGAGAACAGATTTCTGCTTTTTAAGTAAGTCATTGAAAAATGTATGTGTTTGAGAAAGTGAATAGGCTTGAATTATGGAATGTTTTGCGTGAGCATGGAGTTGAAGATGGTTGCTGAATGCAGTAAGAGTGATATATGTTGGAAGTAAAACATGCATGGAAATAAATGCTTAGTGAATGATTCAGCATAGTATAGGGAATAAGGCAAGGTTATATGATATCTGCTTAATTGTTTAATGTTTGTGGGGATAAATGTATGTGGAACGCTTGCACTAACGGTAGACGTGTCTTGGTTAGGGACATAAATGTGTGTGTACTCTTGTATGCAAATGGTCCTGTTTTCTTGTCTGAGAATCCAAGTTGTTTGCCACAAACATTAGATAAATTATGAAGGAGTATGGAAATGAAAATTAAGGCATCAAAGACTAAGATTGTTGAATTTGACAGGGAAAATTAAGTGAACATTTGCAAGTTATATGTAAATAGCAAAAAAAAAAAATAGAGGAAGTAGATGAATTTGTGTGACTTGGTAGATTATTTACTAAAGGGTGGAAGAAAATGGATGCATTTTAGGATGTACAAATACGATTAGAAATATCATGGGTACTATGCAGTCTGTCATATGAAATGGATATTTAAAAATGTCTGTGTATAAAAACATGCTTTTGCCCACTTTGTTCTATAGAAGTGCATCAGAAGAAACACAAATGTAAATTGATTACAATGGGAATGGCATAATTAAGAAGTGTGTGTGATAAAACCAAGAGATGAGGACCAGAATGTATGAGGCTGAATAAATGTAGTCTAAATGCCAAAATGAGTAACCAGTGCAAAAAAGATACATTGAGGTAGTTTGTTCATATAGAGAGATTCAATAGGGATTGAATTGCAAAATAATATATGAAGGAAGAGTGGAAGGAACAAGGGAAAGGAATAGCCTAAGAAAGTCATGATTGGATGGAGCTGATGAGATCCTGAAAATGAGGTGAGATGTTTAAATAACAAAACAAAATATAAAGCAGAGTATAGATGGGGTGAAAGCAAGGGTGGCTTACTAGTATAGAAAAGAATGGGAAATTACAGTGTATGGTGTTGGCGTAAACTGTTTTGAGCTATACAGTGGTACCTCGGGTTACAAACGCCTCTGCTAACGAACTTTTCGGGTTACGACCAGCTCCGGCCGCAAAAATTTACCTCGGTTTGCTAACTCCGCCTCGGGTTACGAACAGGATACGTGGCCATTTTCCCTCCCGTGACATGGTCAGCGGCCATTTTTCCGCCCCTGACACGTGGTCCGCGGCCATTTTTCCGCCCCTGACACGTGGTC